TCATCACCATGGGGAAATTATTCGGTAGCTATAGCCTATCTTGTAATCTTTGTATATAGAAATATATAAAAATTCAGATTAAAATTTATTTATTGAAGAAATGTTTTCGTTTTACTTGTTACGAAATACCCATGCAACTTTTTTAACCATAATTTTAGGAAGATATCTCATTTAGTGTAGAATTCAATTGTTGTGTATCCCTCCTAATTAATTGATTCCAATCACTGTTAACCGCTCACAAATCACAAAATACCACTTGAAATGCAGAACACTAATTGTGTGAACCAACATACTTGAGCTAATAATAAAAAAGACATCAACCTACATATCTCTATAATTATTGATAGTGATAATTTTTTGCTTTCATTTACATAACCCACTGCTAATAAAAATGAAAGTTTTCAAATAATTTGCAGTATTTGTCTACAATTATTATTTCAATGCCTTTTTTATACGTACATATGTATGCATGCATTTATTTATGTGTGTGTGTGGCAATGAATATGTTTGAACATAAACTTCTCTTAAATAAATAAACAAGCTATACACAACATGGACTCGGCCGAAAAAAAATTAAATACAATTTGTAAACATTCATAAAAACTTGATAACAAAAAAAAAAAAAAAACGAAAAAAACTATTAACTAAAATCCCCACATAGAAACATACATACACATATAAATTACCAGGAGGTTGGTATGGAAACTTCAGTAAAATTGTTCATTTTTATACGAGCACAATAAAAATATGATTTGTCAAAAACAAAACTCCAATTTTAGTAAATTGCCCAATAGATTTGTATCGCAACATAGGGGTTGCACTACTTTCTAAATGTTCCCAACATATTACTTTACTGGAGTTCAAGGCGAAGCAGAAGCCTACCAATTTGGATGGGCATCGGATGACGTTAAAAGAGTGAAATGGGCCATAATGTTTATGTAAAAACCGAAAATGTTTTACCCGACGAAATCACATGATGTCACCTCTGACATTATTGTTGAAAGCCAAGGTATCGGATTTATACCGAAATATATGCAATCCGTTTATATACAAGAAATTGATGTCAGTTTATTACAATTGTCACTAACTCAGAATAGCCTCTTTAAAAAACGTGAATATTTTTTTGTCATATTTTTAATTGCATGGAATTTTTTATCTTGAGTTTCAATATAAAATTATCTATTTTGTAATATTTTTTTACATATTGTGGTATTATGTGTCGTAAATATCGCAATTATCTTCCGATCCTCACGAAATTTTCCATTGGCCTTCTGATTTCATTTGATAAGGATAAAAAGGGCTTAATCGAAATAGGATTCAGGACATTTGAAGTCGATCTAATGCCTAAGTGCCTGCTTGTCCATCTGTATGGTTGATAACTCCGATTAGTTCCAATCTTGGTACATGGTAATATAATTATCAAACGTAGTTGGGATATCCTTCACAAAAGATCAACATTTTCAAAGAAAATAGTTCACCTCATAAAAAGATGATCTTCCCATTTTGTTTAAACCTTACAAATCATAATATAGGTATCAGTAATAGGTTAGGTATGAAATGAAATAAATTGACAAATGCTGTCGTCAAATCCACTGATACTTTTCACTTCTTTAATAAAAAACCCACTATCTGTTAAAAAAATATTTAGACTCAATACAATTTTTCTACTAGGGTATCCGATTAAATAAATGTCAACTCTGTTCTAGAAAAAATTATGTTTTTCTAATATAAATATTGCCAATATGGACGATTTTTCAAAACTGAAAGTGCTACCAAACGTTCAAGAACAATATGTACCTTTTAGTACTTTTAAGGCATTTAAGTATGGATTTCCAAAAATTCTCCTCATATCATAGCATTAAATAGCACTAAATTCCATAAACTCCATCTTTCCTCTAATGTGGCAAATGAATTGCAAAATCCCACGCTACTGTCCCCGTGTATATACTGTTTATTACTTTATACTATTTAGTACTTAATGGTTTTTAGTATTTTATACTTTGTAGTAAAAATTTCCCTACGTATGGTAGCTCGTCGTACTTACGTCAACCACCCTCACCAGACACAATATCAAGCTAAATTTAACAAATATAATTTTTCTCTCCTCCACATTTAGTAGTTTATTAAACTCGAACTTTGGAGTATAGTTTTTATTCATAGGTAAATTATTTAAAAAGGGGCTAACATTTTAGTAAACATTTCCGGCTGGCAAGTAAAGTGTCCTACATGCGAAGTTTCAAGATTCCAACTCAAAAAGTATAGAACTTAACGCCAAAACTGCTCTTTAGTTCCGTTTTCTCCTATTAATGGAAACCTACAAGCAGTATTTAAAGTTTCTAGTACCCAAAAGTGTAGAATTTTAGGCCAAAAACTTACATTAACTACCTTCCCAGAGACAATGGACAAATAACGGCGTTTCGGCTTATACTTTCAAGCACAACATTTTGGCCAAAAAAAAAAAACATGTAGTATACAATAAATCCCTAGTCTCGATGGTTAAAGAATGACATTGTGACGTATGAGTACTACAATTGGAACAAAAATGTTAATCATACGCTTCAAAGTCCCTTAGTAATTGACGGCTGGATAGTGGAATTTTACTTTTTTAGTAATTTTGTAGATATTTTTAAAAACAAATAAAGCAGAATAAAAGCGGATTCTTCGAGGAAACAATGTTTTATTTTGAATATTTAGTATTTGTTTTTGTATGTGAGATTTGTATTTTTCCAAAAGAGCAAAGTATTTTTTGCTTGAAAACCATAAAAATCATAATAATCTATTTTTATTTTCAAGATAAGACTTAACTTAAAAGAGTTGACATTTTTTGCAGAATTAGTAATGATAATTAGTAATTAGTAATAGTGTCAAAAAGAATTTGTTGCTATAGAAAGCCTTCATAATGTACCCCAACGTAGTAATTATATTCGTCTGTCCATCTGTATGTTCCTCTAAATATCTATTGAAATCAAACAAGAGTCCACACTAGTTTAAGTAGAATTTTAAAATTTTACACATCCCTTTGCAGTATGTCCAGAATCCCATGAACTATAATATTGGAAATATTGATCTACGTTTGTCTGTTAAATCGAGACTTTAAATCGGGCTCTACCAAATACTTAGGTAGAGCCCGATTTAAAGTCTCGAATTCCAACGAAATTAGCTGTAATTTGGTTGCTCACGGTTTCATTGCATATAATCCACCTTTCAGGGAAATTTCCGAACGTTTCACTTATAAATAAGTGACAGTGGCTGAATTTTTCGTTTCTCTGCGGATAGGAACTTTCATTACAATTTTTTATATGTCAATTAAATCCACATCTTGCCACTACTGTGAGGAAGGGTTTTCTGTAAATTGAGTTGTATTTGGACTGAGAAGGATATAAAGGTACCGTTATTCGGTATTTTGGCATTTTTGTTAAGCGCCAGTTGCACCTGACAATTTTATTTGTTCTCAAAGACTTAGCTAAGCAAAAATTTTCGAATCGTGCATATTTTAAATCTAAACTAATTTTAAAGATCCACAAAATGACACTAATGTTCTGGAAATTCAAATTAGAATATGTAACACCCCATACCAAATCGGATGGCAACGTGGACTTGAGAGGTACCTCCATTTTCTGCAAAGAGTTGACCTACTGCCCTCTAATACCAAGAAACTAAGTTAAAGCCAAATTGAAAAATGCGGATAGGACCCGGGAAATTTATAAAATCACGGGTACTTCTATATGTGGTTAATGCCAAAACTAGGTTCTCTTTTGTGGGTTTTTACATCGAACATAGAAACAACTTTGAAGCAGAGCCTTTCCTTATATGGGAGCTATACCAAAAAGATGTGTATTTCTAGATCTTGCAGCAGTATAACTCAAAATACCGTAGTCCTTTTTTGTACGGTTAAGGCTTCATGTATAAAGGACCATGGAAATGTTTGACCTTAGAACCCATTTTGGAGTTTGGATCTACTAACAAAATACGCCATAATTTTGGCAGATTCAAAACATATGAAATGTATCTCGCAAGAATATTCAATATTAGTACTAGTTCCGACAAAATACCCTTTTAAGTGAATTATTGTCGAAGTTCTTACCCATAAAAATTTACCATAAGGAAAAATAACAGTTATATATCTTTACTTATTTTTAAATACCAAACCAAGATTGATTATTAAAAACATTTTATACGATTATCAGCAAGTTCTCTAAAAACATATATTTTTCAATTCAATATAGACTTCTAAACAAACCAAATTATCATATCTCCTAGCCATCCTCCAGAGAGAAAAAAAAAAAAACACAGACCTTGCATGCCTTTCCAAATAAATGTGCAACTTTCTGCCGTTGTTAGTGTATGCGAATTTTCATTGAGAAAATACTCAAGCCCGCCATTAACACATTCTGCGCTCTTTGCTGCTTGTCGTACAAATGAAAGGGATTTTTCGACGATGTTTTATTTTTTTCTATTTTCGTTTCTTTTTTTTTTGCTTTTCTATTTTCTAAAAGTTCGCTGTCAGCCAGTTTGTTTGGCAACATTAACATTATCATGCTCGTCCCTGCAGCAGAGAAATGATTACATGATGAAGCAAAGACGCGACGAGCGTTGAGGTGTTGTATCTAATGTTTAATTTTCATAGAAAAAAGGGGTGTCCCCAGTCTCAGGGCTCCCGAGTCTGTGGGGTGTGGATTTGGGCCTACTTTTATGCGGTTGCTTTTTGGCTTTGCTTTTGCTGTGGCTAGTTGGCTGCCTGGTGGCACTGCTGTGGAATGAAAGTTAGGTCGGGAAGGGTCGGTTTGGGTTTTATGTTAATGTTAATGGGTGGTAAATTGACTTGCTCATTCATTTTGCTTTTCAGGTCTGTGCTTGTTTTTCCTTTCTCTGTTTTTTTTTTTTTTGTTTTTTTGCCTTTGAATGCTTTTATTGGTAAGCGTGTTTGTTTGTCTTTTGAATGGTGATGCTTGTTTCGTTTCGTTTTTTTTTTTTGCTTCTACTTCATATTCTGTACTTACCCGTTGGCTGCTGCTGCGGATGTTGTTGCTGTAGTTGTGAATTTGTAGAATTTCGGGGCTTGACTTTGGAGCACATGGAGAACATAATGGCTTCTGGCTGGCTGACTGCTTGGCTGGCTGGCTCTGTTGGCTGGTGGTGCTGTTTATGCTGTTGTATTTCACTTAAGGGGTTCCGGTTGTTTGTTTGTTCGATTCTTGTTTTTTTACTTTGTGTTATAGTTGTTGTTGTTGTCTTTTTTGTTGGGGTTTCTATATATTTTTTCTTCTTTGGTATAAAATTGATGAGGTTTTTTTCTTCTTCTTTTGGTTTAAATTATTTTCAATGCGTTATTCTTTCTTTTGCTTTTTATCCTTAATCTTCTGCTAAGGAACAAATATTATTCTCTTATAAATGTTTGTGGGTGAGGAGTGAGTATGTATGTGTGTCCATGTGTGTGTGTGTTTGAGTGAATACCAAACAAATAAACAAGAAATAAAGAGTTAGTCTGTGGCAAACAAGTGATGTCACCATTTGAAATATAAACCACAACGCCGACGACGACGATGAGAAAGAGAATGAGAACGACGACAGTCTTTTCAAAGCCACAAAAAAGAAAAAAGAATTCTGAAAACACTTGAAAAAAATGTTGGAATGTCGGTTGATTTTCCGTTCTGTTCTTCTCTTCATAAACGTTTTTCAATTAAAAGTTATTGCCAAAGTTCTCGTTTTGAAGTTTTAATCCTTTTGTTGTACTCAACGTTTACACTTGCTTGAGGTGGTGGTTGGGGGCGGTGATGTACTCCCTGCGAAGGAGCACCTATTTGTTGTATGGTTTCAAAATAAAACCAAGTTTAATTAATTGTTATACCTCAATAAAAATTAAAGCATTAATGTTCAGATTTAGTAGCAAAATAACCCGATAATGTTAATCTGCGGTGTGCTCTACAAAAAGAGGACAATTGTTGTATGAGTATGAGAATAAGAGTAGCAGCAATGTCGTCAATTTTCAGTATCGCTATTCTTGTTCCCATGAAACATTTTTTTTCGTCTTCCGTTTCGTAGAAGATTTCTTCTTCAGAAAAAGAGATTTAAAATAGGAACCAAGTCATTTTACCATGCCTATAACTAACATTCCCTTATGAAATATTGCTTTACAAGCTTTGTTTATACAACAAATGCCAAAAATTGTCCAAAAAAATTATTTTTCTATAACGATTTCAAATAAAAAAATGCTTAAAGAAAACTTTTTCCTATTTTTTCTTTGATTTCAATGTGACAGCAAAAGAGAAGTTTAGGCTGATTTTTATTTCGAAAGAAAAAAAACACAGTTGTTTCCGAGTCTTGACAAGTCCCGGTCGGATTTCGAAATGCAAAATCGCAGACGACTAGCGATTTGTAGAAAGTATGATATGTTTTGTCCAAGAAATATTATTTCTTTTATTTATTAAATTCATCTAATATAAGTTGAAGCTTGTTCTCCCTGCTAACATGACTTCATATAATTTTGTGATTATCATGCAGTGATATGCCTTTAAAAAGAAAGTGATAATTCTGTGATTGAAATCTGGCATAAATATGGAAAAATAAATAATAATGTCTTTCTGCGGTAATATGGCTACAGGGGGTATATATCATTTGATACGGCTCAATGAAATAACGGGTTTTGACCCTAGGTCTCTTTCGACCAAATCCGTTTCGGGACATTTGGAGTCGACCTAGCGATGTCTGTCCATCCGTCCGTCTGTCTGTCTGGCTGGTGCGTAAGATAACTCTCGAAGCGAATATCCGATTTGGTCCGAACTTAGTACATCGTAGCACAGGATGAGATAAGAAAACTGCAACCAACTTCATACTGCTGTCATTTCTAAGCCACTCGTCCAACAGCTGTTAAATTTATTCCAGTAACAGCTCATTATATTGTTTACAAGCGTACAAAAGCATTTTGGTGAGAATTTTCCAGAAAAAAAGTTATTTGTGATGAAATTTAAGCGTGATATGTAAAGAAGCGACTTGATCTAAACCCGCGCCGCAATGGCGGAAAATTGGCTCGTGAGTTGAACATATCGCAACATTCCATTCGGAAAATATTGAAAAATGAGCTTGGGGAAAAACGCCATTGAAATTCCAAAAAGTGTAAGAACAGACAGGAAATAGACTCAAAAGAGCTAAAGAGTTGCTTCACTTTGCCGATAGAGGTGAACTGGCGAATTTTGTTTTCTCCCATGAAAAACATTCGTTGTCCAGCAGTTTGTAAACATACAAAAGGATCGTGTTTACTTGCCAAAGAGGTCAGCTGAAAATGTGCACCTTCGGTTGGCCGCCAGAACTCAAGTGCCGGCCATGGTGATGATGTGGGCCGCCAATCCAGCCGATGGTCGCTTTCCGCACGTATTAATCGATCTTGGCATCAGAATAAATGCCGAATATTATCGCGAAAATATTCTGGAGGGTGTATAAAGCCTTGGGCACGCAAATATTTTGGCCGCAGACCTTGGACTTTCCAACAGGACTCAGCACTATCGCACTCAGCACCCGTCACCCAAGAATAGTTACAAAATGAAGTTCCTCGCTTCATTTCCAGCGCACAATGGCCACCAAAATCTTCGGATATCAATCCGTTGGACTATTGGTTGCACTAAAAAATAACAAAGTGTCGATCACCTCAAGCAAGCGCTTCGCCGGGAATGGGCCAAAATACCGCAGAGCAACATTCGGGCAGCGTGTGACGGTTTCATTGGCCGTTTGAAGGCCATAATTCGTGAGAAAGGTGACCAATTCGATCAAATCTAAACTTATTCTAAAACTTGATACTATTTCCGACATTATTTGCTTTTAATTTTGAATAATTATAACTCTTACAAAATGTGATGTGAGTGTCCGATTGTCTTCAAATTCAACACTTCACAATATTTTTATTAACTCAATGTCTGGTGTGAAGATGGAATATATCGGTCCACTGCTTCTGGTGTCTCCCACACAAAGGGCCGAAATTTTGAATATTCATGAAGCCCATAAAACGCTAATCCGATTCTACTCAGACTTGGTTCATCTCAATATTTCCATCAACACCAGATCTGTTATAAAGATGGTTAAAGAGCGGACCATTCCTTCTGGTACCTCACCCACAAAAGGGCCAAAGTTTTGAATAAACAAAACGATCATTACATCCAAAGTAAGCGTCTGGATCATAAAATCTGAAATTAACATCCTGTTATCTTCAAATTACACATATCACAATATTTTTATTAACCCAAGGTCTGTTGTTAAGATGGAATATATCGGTCCTTCTGGTACCTCATCCACAAAGGGTCAAAGTTGAGAATGAGTACCCATGGAGCTCATAAAACGCGAAAATAACATCCGATTCCATTCAAACTTGGTGAATCTCCATATTTCCATCAGCACAAGGTCCGCTACAAAGATGGCAGAGATCGGACCATTTCTTCTGGTACCTCCCCCAAATAGGGTTCATGATTTTGAAAAACGAAACGCTCAAAAAAAAAAAAAAAAAAAACAAATAAACACCCAACTCTTTTCAAATTTCACATGCATACATTTTTGTTAGCGCCACATCTGTTGTGAAGATGATATATAACTGCGAACCCCTTGTGGCACTTCACCCACAAAGGATCACAATTCTCTGTCATAACTTATGAAACAAGTCAGCTATTCTTTACAACTGGCTATATCTAAATATTCCTCTTAACTAGAAATCTGATATGAAAATTTAACTTATTGGAATTTATGATTTCGCATAAAAGTGGATATAAATATTCCATTTCCTTCGAATTTTGCCGATACCAATATTCTTATCTATATTAGATGAAGTATGGAAATGGAATACTTCGGTCTGCTATATCTGGTACCTCACGCATATTTCCACATTTTCCAAATTTGCAGTATAGGAAGTAGACCATATAGTCCAAATCTGGCACATTGTTATAGTTATAACTGTCTTAGGTCCGATACGAATTGGTCAGTAATGGCCAACTGCTTCGGATTCTCGCCCATAAAGGGTCAACAGTTTGAACAATCATACCTAAAGGAAAAACCGACTGATACTATTTTACCTTTTTAACGGGTTTCTCCAAATAATTTTTACAATTCAGTCTGGAAGTAACGTTACTATTCCAAACAGTTGTGGACCTGAAAAGTTTAATCTATCAATGGTACATATTTGAATTTTAAACCATTGTTGTGTTTCTACTTCTGTTTTATTTTTCAATGAACAATCAACCTTTTTATTTTCTATGTCGAAACAAGTCCTACATCGAATCACATGGAATTTTTTATCTAAGAAAACATGTGCTTTGTTGTCAACTTGCCATTGTTGTTCTTCGACAATTCTCAAACGCTTTATTGGAATGAGCGGACAAATGTGTGCCAAACACTTATTCACAAAAGTGTACAATCTTAATTTGAAATGCTAATTTCTTCAATGTCACTGCTTTATGAAATTTTCCACTTCAGAGATGTTTGTAATTTTGTTGTTGTTGTTGTTGCTTTTTTCTCTCACTGTTCACTCTGTTCGACAAAAACTAAACACTTCGTATCAACGTCCGTCCTCTTTCTTATTTTATGCCAAACTAAAAAAAATATATGTAAGTGTCTCGTCACGTTGTCAAAGGATGTGCATGAAGAGACAAACACACACACACACCCACACACACCAATTACATATGGACACATGGCCCTCTGGTAGCACTTCATTCACTAAACAACACTTCAGCACTAATGTTTTCGTATTCAGATTCCTCTTCGTATACGCATCGTGTAGTTTGTATTCAGATCCGTTCGTCTTCCCCATTTCGGTTGTGTGAGTGTGTATCTGTGTGGGTGAGTGTTTGTGTGTGATTTTTTCTAATTGGAGACATTTATGTCTGCTTGGATGGCAATTAGCTTTGCTTTTGGGGGACAACGATGATGGCACACGCCTATTGACACTTTGGCCCAAACTTAAGATCTCAAACAGGTGTGTCCAAGCAGCACTCGTGAGCTTTTTTTCCATTTTCCCTTCATGCCTGAAAAGAATTAAATGTGTTCTTTTTGGGCTTGCTATTTTTAAGTGGAGCTTTGTCAGTGCCCGCTTCGTGTTGGTATGGTTTGGCGGGGGATTGTCTTTCTTAATTTTGCTGTCCTTAAATATTTGATGAATTTCACTCCTTGGCTGGTGGCGGTAGGTATTGCCTATTGCTGCTGCTGGATTATGTCGAATTAAAGATTAATGGCTGTTGACAAATTGTGATTGTCATTGTTTACGGCCACCACTTTCTCGAAGATTGAGAATTTTGAAAATTTCAATTAAGAATGTTTAAAGTAATTAACACCTTTGTAAGTGAGTGAGTTCTCGTCGCTGTCCATCACTCCGATGGTAGTCAATGAATGAAATGTCAAGGCGCGTGGGTGGGTGTGTGTGTGTGTGTTTGCTGTGCGTGAGTAGAGAAGGGAACGAACTATGACGTTAGTTGTGAACAGTTATTTAATTGGCAAGTGTTGGTGTAACTGTGTTATTGCATGTTCCTTGGCAGTGTCCACAGCAAGAGATGGCTCGTCGTGAAGATGTCGAAAATGTCTAAAATATCAAGTTCACATTATGTATCTCTTAAATTGTCAATTATGGACCAAAACAAAAAAAAAAATAATAATAATTTTTACTAATTTTTCGAATCCGAAGATATTTTCAAAATAGTCTATAGTTCAGAAATGATTTTGACAGTTCCATAACTCTGTTCTCGAACCTGTAAGAAACTACTAGTTTAGTAATCGGTTATCATATCAGCTTTTTTACATTCTTCCAGGTTCCGGAACAGAGCATAATTTTTAAGGGTCCTATTCTGGACAAGTAAAAAGCTAGTGCTTACTGCTGGCAATAGCATGTCACAAGAAAGAAGTAAAAAATCCTAAATGTGGAGGCTCCGTTATATGTACCTTTATTAAATATTGATTGGTTTAATCTACCCACAAGGGACCGGATACAGAAATCACATATGGTTGGAAAATGGAAACGAAAATAAAGATGGGGTTGTATGGGATCCATACCAAAAAGTTTACCGAAATTAACATATTTTGCGAGATGTTAAACTGGTTCTTAAAAATTGGATATATCATGCCATATAGTCGACTTGGTCTGTAGTTGGGATAAAAACCTTTGGAATACCGAAAAGCAGGGGGCACTGGGGTTGCACCTAAGTGTAGGCTGATATACATCATTTTCAATGTTAGACACCTAAATCGACATCCTGATTACTTCGAGATGTTTACTGTTTAAAAGTAATTCGATTTCTAAGAGCAGAAATAATATTATATTTTGTGGCAAAACGTGGCTCAAACGTAGCCTTGAGGGAATATTGTCAAAGAAACTTCCTAAGAAAAAAAGAAATGTTTGCTAACAGCCTTTCATTTCTGTTTTTAAGGTTCAGAAAATATCTTTGGCTAGACCTTTTTTTTAAATATTGGATTTCCAAATTTTATTGTCGAAACTGCTAGCCCGATGTGTGTTTCGGTTAAAGATTTCGACTCCAAGAAGTGAGTTAGCTTTCTAATTATTAGTAAATTATTTAGATTTCTAAATTGTGTCTCCTACCCTTGCCCTCAACTACATCATCCCAATCAAAATGTATGGAGTTGTCATCATATATTTGCAACAGATCCTCCTGTATTTTAACGACATTTGCGACACATACCACTTTTTGACGGTATGTAACTTGAAACCCCCCAGAAAAATATCCCCCTGTTACTGACCAGTTTCAGCCCCCCCCCATGATGGAGAAGGAAGTTCTTCTACCACTTTTCCTTTTTTTCTACATAACGTCAATCTGTGTGTTCGTGTGCATGTATGTGTGTGTTTTGTCTCGTCCTGCTGAGCCTCACTGCTTATGTTGCTGCTGCTGTGGCGGATGATGTTGATGATGTGTAGAGGTTCAAAGTTTTGTGTAGTCGTTGATGTCTGACAACGGTCGGTTGTTCGGTCTGGTCGCTTTTTTCACTCTTCGTTGGGAAAAAAATACGCTGATGATTGCCTCTTTGTTTTGCGAGGCATCCTCTTCCGTTTGTTATTGCCACAAAGCGGCTAAAATAACCAACAAATCATTCTAAGTGCCACAGCAACAACAACAGCAACACCGACGACCAAAAAACGCAAAAGTTTTTCCCAATTTTTTGTGCTTTCAATTCGGCTTCCTTCCTTCCTTTTAATGTTCCCTACAACAGTTTTCAGTTGCTGTTGTTGTGTATTAACAACAATTTAGCCTATTGTCGGTCTTTGTATTAGGGCGAGGATGAGAGTCCATGGACGTCATTGTTTTTGTAGCGTAATGAAGTGTTCTTTCGCAAGAAGACAACATACATCAAACTAAGGCTGTTGATGCTGCTGCCCCGCCACCGCCAGGTCGGGGGCAGGTGGTGGCTGCCAGGCGGCGGCGGCTGTAGACCGAAATGAAGCCACCTAAAACACTAAGGAGAACTTTTAATTGGATTTTTTTCGTATTGTTTCTTCTATTTTGTCAGTGTTTTTTCCACATCTTCTTCTTCTCGTTTGGGGTTCTTTTTTCAACTTTTTTTGTTGTTGCTTTGTTGGTTGGTTGACGTTTCACCGCAATCAACGACCAAAGTTAATGAATTTGGCCAAATTATTCTCTCTTAATGGGCAAAAGTGCAGACACACAGTACGATGAGTGTGGTTTTTTTTTGAGACAGATGCTTCCTTTCTATTCTTCGTTCTTTGCTCGCAGATCATCTGTTTTTGTGGTTCAGAATCTTGAAATTAATCGCGTTGTCGGCTTCTAATCAGGCGGAAACTTAAAAAAATTGCTTTTGAATTGAGAAACTTTTTTCGTTTGTTCAACATTTTGTGGAAATTGTGCATTGAAAACCAATTTAATTTGAATAGTTGTTTTTGTTTTCTTATTTTATGTTGTTGTTGGTTTTTTCTGTTTTTCTTCTTTTTTTTTTTTTTGTTCTCCAATGTTTTGATTTTTGTGAATTTTGTCTGGCGAACAATTCTAGGGATTTTTGTACACACCTCAGTTTAAGTTAACGGCCGAGACTCAACTGAATGGAAACTGTAAAAAATGTGACTGGTAGACGACGACAACAACGACGACCAGACGACAACAGCTGCGTCTCGGTGTGAGTGCGCGCTCGCCAGAGATGTTCCTCAGATACTCCTACTCGCAGTAACTGAGGACATGGATGCCAAATCCAAGTTCGATATTAACAGTGGCAGAGTGAAAGCTTAAAACATCCAAACAACAAAACATGGGGATGGTATCCGAACAGGCGTCAGTGCATGTGGTCCCCAATGAAGGCGATAAATAATATCCATTATTTATTAAATTTATTTTCAAATTTGTAAGAAAAACAAAAGAAATTTGATACGGTAATATTTTTTAAATAATTTCCCGATTCAAATTAATGCCATGCTCTTGTTTGCTTTCGAGGATGTTAAAAATCAATGAATGAATCAAAAATCATGTATTCATGCTCGATATGTGTATGTGTGCGTTTGTTCGCATCGTATATCATGAGAATAAAGCTTTCATTCATAAACTCCTGGTTAATATACTTACTCACACACACACACCCATCCACCCACCTAGCGCGCTGAGGAGCATTGATGTGTATGAGAAAAGCTTTTAATTGTTGGTGTGTGTGTGTACGTTGAGTGAGGGAGTGTGTGTGTGTGTGTGTGAAAAGTCGTTGGGAGGTTCCCCACTGTGTTAACAGGGACGTTAATTTGTTTTAATAGAATTTATATTCTGTTGAGATGCAACATGCAGTGGCCATTACAAAAACAAGGAACAACTGAAATGGAAAGTGACAAAGAACAACAACAACAACAAGAAACACAATATTTTATGATAAGATACTGACTTTTCGCAATATATATATATATATATATATATATATACGTACAGAGGAAGTTAAGTTTTTAGAAGTAGGACAAAAAATGTATATAAAGGGACCAGGAGTGAAATTAAAGTTTGTGTCGCTTTAGTTTAAGAAGGTCTAGAAGGTAAGAATTTGCAGAGCATAAATAGGGAAGATATAGAAATATAACGGATAATTCTTAGAAATATAACCCTATGATCTACAATTACCCAATGTAGTTTCTCGGGGAATTTAAAATTAATGTGTAACAAGTAAAGTAGTATCAATCGGTTTTGCCGGCAGATTTATACCCCCAGCCTTGAGTTATGGGAGAGGTTCCGAAGCAGTAGGCCAATATTGCCAAATACTAAGACTGATATAAATATTACAGATTTGAACCATATCGACAACTTCCTATACTTTACATGAGATATTTGCAAATTTTTAAAAATGTGGAAATATACGTGAGGTCCGATATATCTGGACCGAAATGTTCCATTTTCCTTCTTCCTCTAATACAGATAAAAATATTGGTATGTGCAACGGAAATCCACTTTCATGCGAAATCATAAATTCCGATAAATAACATATTCAAATCAGATTTCTGGTTAAGAGAAATATTTAGATATAGCAAGTTGTAAAGAATCGCCGCTTTGTTTCGCAATTTATGGAAATTGCGACCCTTTGTGGGCGAGGTATCAGATTGGGTTCGCAGATCAACACAACAGATTTCGTGTAAGCAAAAATTTTTGTATGTGTTAAATTTGACGAGAGTTGGATGCTTATTTTTACTTCTTTGAGCGTTTTGTTTTTCAAAAAATCTTGAACCGTATGTGGGGGAGGTATCAGAAGAAATTGTCCGATCTCTACCATCTTTATGGCAGATCTTGTGTTGATAAAAATATTGAGATGTGCCAAGTCTGAATAAAATCGGAGATTAATTTCGCGTTTTATGAGCTTCATGGGTATTGAAAATATTAACCCTTTTTGAGGGAGGTACCAAGGAGTGGACCGATATATCCCATCTTCAGACCTTTGGTTAATAAAAATGTTGTGATGTGTGTAATTTGAAGACAGTCCGACACTTACATCACATTTTATAAGATGGGTGTGAAGATAAATTGGAAAGTTAAATTGGATGTTAACAGAACACAGTTACTTAACAGAGCTCTGTTAAGCACTTAACAGAGCTTTGTTAAAGACTTAATAAAAAGAAAATTTTGAAAAATATAATTATTTGTTAATTATTATATTAAAATTTATTACTTGGTAATAAAAATAGCTTGAATACAAATTAAATAAATGCTATGCAGCACCAACTAAAGAACAAACCGTTTGAGACACCCGAATTAGGTCATATCTTTATTATGATGTAAAAAAAAGCGGAATGGACAACTGTGCAAAGGCTATAAAAGCTGCGCGGATCAAACTAGGCTTAAATGAAAGGCCTCTCTGAGCACTTTCAGCCCATATATAGATTATATACATCGCTAGATCGACTCCAACACCCGTTTTTTAGACTGCGCACCTTTTGGCCGTATCGTATGATATGGCTGATATGGCTGAGAGTATAAAAATTTACTAAACATTTTATTAAACATTTACTAAAAAATATGTGTTGCGGTAGGTCGTTCGGCTTCAATTCTTGCACCAACATAAAGGCTTCAGACATTGTTGAAGAAGATAGACCTAATTGCTACGAATTATTAATTGATGGTCGTTACGTAGAAAAAAAATGGAAGTGGTAGACGAACTTCATTTTCGATCATTGAGAGCTGAAGCTGATCAGCATAAGAGGGGGAAATTTTTCTGGGTGTTTCGAGTCAAAAAGTTGTGTGTCTCAAAAATACAATTGATAAAAATTGGAAAGCTAACTCATTTCGTGAAGTTGAAAGCAGCAGTTACAACAAAAAAATTGAAATTTCAATATTTTTCAAAAAAAAAATAAATAAATAAATAAACAAATAATAATAATAATAATAATAATAATAATAATAATAATAATAATAATAATAATAATAATAATAATAATAATAATAATAATAATAATAATAATAATAATAATAGTAATAATAATAATAATAATAATAATAATAATAATAATAATAATAATAATAATAATAATAATAATAATAATAATAATAATAATAATAATAATAATAATAATAATAAAATTAAATTAAATAAAAATACTTGCCAAAGATATTTTCCGAACTTTAAAAACAAAAATGAAAGGCTGTTAGAAAAAAATATTTTTCTTAAGAAATTTCTTTGACAATATTCTTCAAGGCCATGTTTGGCAAAATTCCATTTTTGCCTCAAAATTTAATATTTTTTCTGCTCTTAGAAATCGAACATCTCGATGCAATCAGCCATCAAATTTTGCACACGTGTGTATTGAGTTCGAAAATGGCTTATGTTGGTCCAGGTTATAACGGTACCTCAAAATTTTTGGTATTTTGATGATTTTTGCGACATTATAGACCAAAATCGTTTTACATTTCATATTGGAAGATGTTAATGGGTACAGCAATTATGACAAAAAATTACTCATTCAGGTCCACGCTTTGCATAGCGCCTTTATAATGTTACTTCCCAATATTCGGTATTTTTAAGGTATTAGAGACATTATAGACTGGAATTCTTCCAAGTTTCGTATTTATAGTTCGACAATGACAAACATTTGCGTGTGCAGGCCTTCGCTTAGCCACAATATAACGATATCTCCCGATATTCGTTACTTTGATTATATTAGCTACATTATTCAACGGAATTGTTTTAAGTTTCGTATTTGAATGGGCACTACAGCCTACGACAACAATTTGCGGTCCTCCTCTTCGTATATAACGGTTTCTATTCAAATGCTATTTTTCGACAAAATTTTCTTAACTTTTTGCAGATTCCTTCTAAATCGTGGGAGGGTATTGAAAGTTCAGCCCGGCCGAACTTAGCTTCTTTTTTAATTGTTTTTTTTTTTTTGTAGTTTTCAGAAAAGCATCACTTATGTTACAGACATTCAAATTTACATTTTTCGATCTCAACATATAATAATATTTAAAAATCCTTTTCAAATCGCTGTAACGTTTTCTAAAAAATGGTTCAATTTGTGGGAGCCGGCAGGTTACACGAATCTGGCTGTACATTATTAGTATAATGAGACTTGCTATGAAATTTGCAACACGAAACGTATATTTTGTATTTATGGTTAACAGTACCAAATTATTTATTCAAAATTTGGTTGATGAGCCTCCATACATTAAATTTTTTTCGAGGGCACATTCTTTCTCAATCTTCGCTTAATATTAGATTCCTGGTGTCAGCACTCTTCTAAATTCTTCTCGTTTTTATAAGTTTTCCTAATTTGTATATCGTATGCCGTTAATCGTTTCACATACCATTTTGTGTGCTTGAAACTACACAAACACCCAAACATACACACACATAAACAATATAACGAGTAATGGAAAATGTATTCCAGACAGGAGGTGAGCTCATCTCAAATTACAAGTGATATTTCACCAGTGATGACACTAAACTGCTAAAACTGAGAAACAAAAATAAAAGGAGAAGACATCGACGTCGTCGACGAAGACGACTCAAATGACAACAATAACAACCTTGCCTTTATGTGAGCGGTGCCAAACAAAGTGCTCATCAACACGCACTCAGATTCAAACGGAGAGACACACACACATGCCCACCTAAGCCATTGAAGGAAAACTTGACGACATTAACACTGGCCTGACTGCCTGCCTGCCAGTCGAGCCAAGCTATATCGCTGGTGTGCGCCACTCGTTCGTGCCACAAACGCACGTACAGCGTATTACACTGTGTAATCCTTGCATAACTGCCAAACAACAGATACACGATTTGGCTGGCGTCCTCCGACTGGGGTGTGAGCGTGTGTGTAAATATATGTAATTCCCTCGCAGCCCGTGTGTGGCTGGTTGTGGGTCCTAGCAGCCGTTCGTCTGCTTTGTTGGCATTCCACCTCCTCCACCTCGTTGCAACCAAACGTCGTTGACTGCTCAGTCTTAGCGGCAACGACCCGAAAACATATGGTAGCATCCGCACCGACACTCACCAGCCAGCCACACACACCCGCACACCTCGCAGGGAGACAACAGGCGAA